AAATAAATATAAATATATAAATATAAATATATATATATATATATATATATATATATATATATATATATACATATATATATATATATAAATACATAAGGCTCTTGTCTAAGTGCACCTGTCCGTTTGTCAATCGCGTTGTGAATGGGGGGAAATCCTAAATTGTTTGTGAGTGTGATATTAGATGTTCTCAAATAGAGGTAAAATCATGATAATTCAGTGACTTCCCAAAAGCTGTCATCAATTCCCAGTTAAGCCTAAGTCTGTCTTAGATTACCTTTCTATCTCGAGCCCAAATCTTAGGTCACCTTTCAATCTCAATTACAAATGTTAGGTTACCTTTCAATTTCAAACCCAAATTTTAGGTTACCTTGCAATCTCAAGAACAAGTCCTTTGGTCACCTTACAATCTCAGTCACACATGTTAGGTCACCTTTCAATCTCAATCACAAATGTTAGGTTACCTTTATATCTCGAGCCCGTGTCATAGGTTAACTTTCAATCTCAAGCCCAAATCTAAGGTTACCTATCAATCTTTTGAAATATTTTGTATCATTATCATTTAGCTAATCGATCGAATCGTCCTTTTTTTAGGCGTGATTATCGGTTTCGAAACCCTTTCATCCTTATTCTTACGCACCAGCCCCCGTGACAAATCGAATTGGCTGCGGTATAATTTATTTTGTATACCACACTCCATTATTGGACACTTACAAGCTGTAGATCGCAGGGTTAACGATGGATCAATGTCAGACTGCCAGGTATGGTCTCCCTAATCACCTCTGAATACTGCAACTTATCCAATATGTTGGTCCAATGCACTACAGCTCTGACTCCATCAAATAATACGATAAGTTTAATGACTTTATCACATATTGAATTGTATTATGACCTCCAAATCCAAGGGATACACAGAATAAACACTACTTCTCGATGCGTCCAAGGGAATTAGAACACACTGCCGTCTTGACCGTGACTATAATACAACTCTATGAGTACGACACAGCCACTGTGTACATAATATATTATATCCTCTCGCCCATCACTGGCAGTCTCTCACCCATCATTGACACCCTCTCGCCCATCATTGACACCTTCTCGCCCATTATTGACACCCTCTCGCCCATCATTGACACCTTCTCGACCATCATTGACAGTCTCACGCCGTGTTCACTCATGCTTGCACTATTTCGGGTGGACATCACTTAATGTAATCCCAAACATCACAACGGTGATTCTCATATCCTAGACAGATACCTCTTCATAATCAAATTCAAGTTCCTGGACACATCTCCTATAGTCGCTTTAATTAAAATTTAGACGAAGCAAACAGACTTTTAATATTTAATTTAAAAAAAACAAAAAAACTATAAATGTGGAATAAAACAATAATAACCTGCTCTAATATTTAATATATTGGCGCACTATAGTCAAAACAATAACAACAAAAGCAAATAATTGTTGCAAAAACTATTACTTTATTTTCACCACTTTCTGGTTTAAAAATGTGTTATATGTTCTCTTGTTAATTAAACGTATACAAAGACAAAATACATTACATAATTTGTCTGTTTCGGCAAGTCTATCTGTCCTGACGATAGCAAGGTGAACTTATTAAAATATAATTGGTTCGGGCGTTGGATGAGTTGGGTGTGGGTGGGGTGTATGATCTTGTCTCTTCAGTGGAATAAAATCAAGTGGTTCAGGTGTAACATGGGGGTTATGAGTTGGGTGAGGGTGGGGTGTATGATCTTGTCTCTTCAGTGGAATAAAATCGAGTGGGTCAGGTGTAACATGGGGGTTATGAGTTGGGTGTGGGTGGGGTGTATGATCTTGTCTCTTCAGTGGAATAAAATCAAGTGGGTCAGGTGTAACTTGGGGGTTATGAGTTGGGTGAGGGTGTGGTGTATGATCTTGTCTCTTATTGGGATTAGGGGTGTGGGTGGGATGTGGGTGGGTTGTATGCTCTTGTCTCTTATTGGGGTGAGGGGTGTGGGTAGGGTGTGGGTGGGTTGTATGCTCTTGTCTCTTATTGGGGTGAGGGGTGTGGGTGGGATGGGGATGGGTTGTATGCTCTTGTCTTTTATTGGGGTGAGGGGTGTGGAGGTGGGGTGGGGGTGGGTTGTATGCTCTTGTCTTTTATTGGGGTGGGGGGTGTGGGTAGGGTGTGGGTGGGTTGTATGCTCTTGTCTCTTATTAGGGTGAGGGGTGTGGGTAGGGTGTGGGTGGGTTGTATGCTCTTGTCTCTTATTGGGGTGAGGGGTGTGGGTGGGATGGGGGTGGGTTGTATGCTCTTGTCTCTTCAGTGGTGCATCAGTTGGCTGGGGATGATGGGTCGGTTGGGGATGATGCTCCTGGCGTTTCACTGGCAAAAGATCCTCTGGTTCGGGTGTGTGGTTGGGGTCATTGTGGTTCACATTGATTCCCGGATGGTGAACATTACCGTCTGTGAAATGAAAAATTTAAACAGAAAAGAAATAATACATTGCAATCTCATATGTAGGTTCGTCTGTTTAGCAAACTATGAGGACTAGTCCTAATGCAATAGTTTTTCGTTACAAAATAAAAATATATTTAAATGTACAGATTATCTTAAACTCCTACAATGCCCTTATTTGTTTAATACTTTGCATTTAAATTCGTGTTTTTATGGAAAGTTTCTTTACCACGTGTTAAAAATTCGTTCATATTTTTATTGTACATCTTTAAATTATTATCCTCTAAATAAATACAGATGCAAATAAGGAAGTTAAGAAAAGCATCAAGAGGGACAAGAAGGAATTTGTTGATAAACTTGCTAAAGAAGCAGAGGATGCAGCTCACCAGGGGAACATGAGGGAACTGTTTGATACCATTAAGACGCTGTCAGGGAAATTTAGCAAGGTAGAGAGACCAGTGAAGGACAAAATGGGAAACACCATACCAAGTGAGGAGCAACAGAGAGGGAGATGGAAGGAGCACTTTGAAGAGCTCCTGAACAGGCCTGAACCAAGAAATCCACCAGATATCCAACCAGCCGATAATGACCTGCTAATTGACTGTAATAGTCCCACCAAAGAAGAGATTAGCAGGGCCATTAAACAACTCAGAAATGGAAAGGCTGCGGGACCTGATGGCATCCCAGCAGAGGCACTGAAGGCGGACCTGGAAACCAGTGTGGAAATGCTACACCCTCTGTTTATGAAGATATGGGAAGAGGAGCAAGTTCCTTCCGATTGGAAAGAGGGATACCTTATCAAGATCCCAAAGAAGGGAGACTTAAGCTCCTGCTCGAACTACAGAGGGATCACCCTGCTGTCCATCCCAGGAAAGGTTTTCAACCGTGTACTACTTAACAGGATGAAAAACGCTGTAGACCCTCTGTTGCGGGACGAACAAGCCGGCTTTCGCACCAACAGATCCTGCACGGACCAGATAGCGACACTGCGCATCATTCTAGAGCAGTCACTAGAGTGGAACTCGCCGCTCTATGTCAACTTTGTTGACTATGAAAAAGCCTTCGACAGTGTTGACAGGCAAACCCTGTGGAGATTGCTAAGGCATTACGGGGTGCCACAGAAGATTACTGATATAATCAGAAACATGTACGAAGGGATAAACTGCCGAGTTATCCATGGCCAGCAGTTGACAGATGCTTTCCAGGTGAAGACTGGTGTGAGACAAGGTTGCTTGCTGTCACCATTCCTCTTCCTGTTAGCCATTGACTGGGTGATGAAAACATCTACACAGCAGAAAAGGAATGGCATCCAATGGACCTTGTGGGATCAACTGGATGATCTTGACTTTGCTGATGATCTTGCACTTCTTGCACATACCCAACAACAGATGCAGGAGAAAACAAACATTGTCGCAGCCACTTCTGCTAGCATGGGTCTCAACATTCACAAAGGGAAGAGTAAAATCCTCAAGGTTAATGCCACCAGTACATCACCCATTATGCTTGAAGGAGAAGCCCTTGAGGAGGTGGACAGTTTTGTTTACCTTGGCAGCATGGTAGATAAACAAGGTGGTACAGATGCGGACGTCAAAATAAGGATAGGAAAAGCAAGAGCAGCCTTCCAACAACTCAAGAATGTTTGGGTCTCTAACAACTTAGGCAGCAAGTTAAAAGTAAGGATTTTTAACGCTATGGTAAAACCTGTGCTGCTATATGGAGCCGAGACATGGAGAACAACGGCCGTAAACCTGACCAGAATCCAGTCCTTCATCAACAACTGTCTAAGAAGGATTCTCAGAATTCACTGGCCAGACAAAATCAGCAACCAGGAACTGTGGCAGCGGACAAAACAGAAACCCATTGAGGAAGAGATTCTCCAGAAGCGGTGGAGGTGGATTGGTCATACACTAAGAAAACCTGCTTCTAACATAACAAAGCAAGCCCTGAAATGGAACCCACAGGGTAAGCGGAAAAGAGGCCGTCCAAGAAACACTTGGCGCCGAGAATTGGAGACAGACATCAAGAAAATTGGCCTTGAATGGAAGATCCTGGAGAAGCTGGCCCAGGATAGAGATGCCTGGAAGTCTCTCGTAGGTGGCCTATGCCCTTGGAGGAACCGCAGACGCCGACGATGATCGGTGGATGCCCCTCATGGACGAGAAGGCTCAAACAAAAAAAAACAACAAATAAATAAGTTTTTAAAAAAAAATATATATAATTCCGTCCCTCAAGCTCGTTGTTTTGCGATTTCGGGAGATTTATAGTATTTTTGTACACGCCACGTCTACTATGACCATTAGAAAGATTCAATATATATTCCAATCCAGTATGTTGTGTACGTCAGTTTATCTAGTGTTTCGTTCCTTTTTCCTTAAGTGTAACAAAAACATATTTGTCGTGTTTTTTTGCTTTTTTTTGTTTTTTTGTTTTTTTTGTTAACTTTTGTTAAATTGCCGAATAATTAGTAAATTTCGGTCCATTAAAAATGTGAATATTATTTAGAACTCAGAGTTTAAAAAAAAAATACTATTTATTTATTTATTTATTTTGGAATAAATTAGAGATTTCGTTTTATTCGTTATAAATGGGTGGTCTTCTTTCCATTCGCCAAAAACAATTTGGGCAAAAAAAGGGCACATCGTTAGAGACCTTGAAACACTTTTCAAAAAATATTTTTTACATTAAAATTAAACAATCTCTGTGTTGCTGTTTTTTTTATTATTTTTTTTTATTTATTTTTTTTTTTAGGCTTCCCTAATGTATCCAACGTCTTTACCTCTTTTACAGAGTTACAATATGTTGTAGACCTAAAAGAAATATAATATAATAATTAACATTTAATACATTTCTGGTTAAGGAGAGTCATCCAGCAGGTATTTCCTAAGACTAGGGGGGTCGGGGCAGATCCTAGTAAATTGTACAGCTTCATTTAGCCCTTTGAGCTAAATACATAATTTGCGATGGTTCGAAAAAAATTGCAAGCATTTTGTATATCTTTTTGTATTCTTTAATTTATTTAATCGTCAGCCCCATGTCTATTCCAAAGGTATCTCAAACATCAGTACCCATGTCTATTCCAAAGGTTTCTCAAACATCAGTACCCATGTCTATTCCAAAGGTATCTCAAACATCAGTACCCATGTCTATTCCAAAGGTATCTCAAACATCAGTACCCATGTCTATTCCAAAGGTATCTCAAACATCAGTACCCATGTCTATTCCAAAGGTATCTCAAACATCAGTACCCATGTCTATTCCAAAGGTATCTCAAACATCAGTACCCATGTCTATTCCAAAGGTATCTCAAACATCAGTAGACGCTTCTCGGGCAATGGGTTTCTCTGTAACCAGAATGTCTCTCGCTGGGTGTTGAAATCATGGGTAATCCCAATGAAGACAATTTTGTTCAAAAACCATATTCTTACTAAAACCCTACACTTCACATACCTTATTCTTTCACATTCCTATTCTTCTAACAGCATATTTTTCACACGAATAATGCATGGCATTTTATGGTAATCCGTAAGTAAAAAGTTTTAAATGTAACTTATTTCAGATTCCCAAAATATAACCTTTCAGTAAAAAAATATCATTGGTAGATTATAACTTTTAAAGTGGTTTTAAGTAAAGAATAACCAACATTGCTGTAATTTATGATATTCAGTTATTACCTTGAGAGGCGACAAGGCCGAACAGGATAACGACAAAGGCGACAGCAATTTTCATGGCTGTTTGCGTGGAACAGATCTGTGTGTGTGTGTGTGTGTGTGTCCTTATTAAGAGTATAACTCCTTTTAAAAAAATATATATTTATATATATATATGTATATTAAAAACGGCTGTGTTCGTATGCCAAAGGAACTCTTCGCTGTCAATCAATGACTCTTGTCTATGAACTTCCAGATAGGCTGTGATACAACGAGGCGTGTTGGTCTTAATTTATAGTGAATATAAGCCTCACGCACATCTGTCAAACCACGTGACATTCTTTGTTTTCGTATTCGTGTGCTTTTTTTTTTTAAATTTAAATGTTTCTCTCTTATGTTGACTTCATTCTTTTTAATCACCAAAGCAACGTGAACGCACAAAGGCGATTCAATTAAGTTTACCTGATATTTAAAAACAAAAAACAAAACGAAAGAAACAGCCCCCCCCCCCCCACCATTTTATGTCACTCTTTCTTCAAATATAGAAAAAAAAAATGGAAATACATTTTGACAAAAATATGTTTTGGGGGGAAAAGAAAATGTCATTTGCGTTGGCTTGGGTTGGGGGGGGGGGGGAGAGTTAAAAATGCCTCTGAACCATGAAATGAACGGCTGTAAAATGTAGATGTTGCCGCCCCTGGCCTGGGCAGAAGATAAATTTAGAACACGCCTTGCTTTGCGTCTGGTCATTTCTTCTCTGGCACGGTTTAGAGTGGTGCTACGGCTACGCAAACATTTTCACGTGTGGCCCACCTGTTCCTTTCTCAGACCTCCGTGGCCCACTTCACGTTAAAACAAATAATACAATCTAACAATTATTGAACTTGCTTTTTGCTGCGTTTAAAATCTGATAAATAATCTAAAAGTTACCTTTCATGCTTTCAAAGTGCGACCGCTTTTCCTTCTAATAAGGAGAATTTTCGAGAAACATTGTTGATATAATATATAGTAATTAGACACGAACAATTTGTGTCGATATAACAATATATATTAAGCTTTAATAATAATTATACATAATACACAAGTATACGTTTCGGCACATGCCTTCATCAATATAACAACAAAACATTTAAAGAAGTATACATTAAATTTACATAATATTATATATACATATATCCTACCTAAAAAAAGAGAAAAAAAATAGGAGTGGGCGCAAAAACCAGACAGCAACAAAGTAAAGAAATTTGAGAGTAAGTGATTTGAAGTAAAATATAAACAACCGAACAGGAAAAAGACATGGCAGCTACTTAAAATTGTGGATTTGGTTTATCCCGTATGGAGTCACCGTACCAAATCTTGTTA